TTCGGCAGCATCGCACCGCTGGGAGACCTGGACCAGGACGGCTTCAACGGTGAGGCCAGGCCGGCCGTGGGCCCCGTGTGCCGGGTCCGGTGGAGAAGTTCTGCCCCCGTGACAACCTCCTTCTGGGGGCAGGTGCGGGGAGAGTGGCAGACACCCCAGGGCCAGCGCGAAGGTGCTCCTTTCCCTTAGAAACCGGAGCGAGCATTTCAGAAACGGACTCCCATGCGCTGCTGTTCGTGGGAATAGATGGGGTAGTGCCCATGGGAGAGGGGCTGGCCCGGCCTCCAGCCCTGCCCTGGCCTGTGTGGCCTGTGAGCCCGGAGTGCCCCTGCCCTGGCCTGTGAGCCCGGAGTGCCCCTGCCCTGGCCTGTGAGCCCGGAGTGCCCCTGCCCTGGCCTGTGAGCCCGGAGTGCCCCTGCCCTGCCCTGTTGAGCGGGAGTGCCCCTGCCCTGGCCTGTGAGCGGGAGTGCCCCCTGCTGTCCACCATGGGGACAAGCGCAAACTAAGCGCCCAGGCCCCGGGGCAGCTGTCACTCACACTCAAAGCTGCGATAGGCTGTGAATATTTTTAAAGCTGCAACTTCGTTGTGACTGAGGGAGGTTCTCGCTCCCTTCACGAGGGCAAAGGAACAAGCGCCCTGTTTAGAAGAGTCCTGTTTAGTAATTTACTCAATCGCTGCAGGTATTTTTAAAAAAAATTTAGCTGGCTTTTATGATAGGGTGAAATATAGATTACACGTGACCAAGATTTAAAAAAAGAATACTGCTAAAGCCCTTTCTAAGAGATCACAGGCTGCATAGTTGAGCTGTTAGTGTGTCATCAACAACAAGTAGGGACCTGCCCCTTAACATCTAAAGAAAGTTAAACATGAAGAAGGAAACTCCATAGTCTCTCCCGGGGCCAGGCAGCGGGCGGGGCGGGCGGGGCCCGGCGGCAGAGGGAGCGGAGTGGGCGCGTTTGTAAAATATTGCAGTTGGAAAGGGTCACGGTGACCGCTTGCTGGGTTTTGCTTTAGTATGTGTTTTTTAAGAATTCCAAGCGTTTATTGGTTTGTGTTAGTTCAGGAGAAGCTGAGCAGGACCAAGAAGGATTTCTGACTTCCAAGTTTCCAAGCCACATTGACTTTTGCTTTTGGGGGAAAAAACCACAAAAACCCAAACCACGTGCAGCTGCTGGCTGGATGTGGGAGCCAGGGCCGCCTGGGCGGGTCCGACCCTCACCCCGTCCACTGGAGGGCGAGGAGCTCGAGGCCCCGAGAGGTTAACTGACCGGTCGCGGGTCAGACCCAGAGCGTCTGCCTCCACCTGTGTCCCTTCCACCCGGTGCTGCCGAGTCTCCTCGGGTTCGAGGCTGCCTTTGAGCGAGACACGCTAAGCCCTGCTCCTCTCCCTCCTGCTCTCCCTCCTCCTCTCCCTCCTGCTCTCCCTCCTCCTCTCCCTCCTCCTCTCCCTCCTGCTCTCCCTCCTCCTCTCCCTCCTGCTCTCCCTCCTCCTCTCCCTCCTCCTCTCCCTCCTCCTCTCCCTCCTCCTCTCCCTCTCTCACGTCTCCCTCTCTGCCCCCTCCTTCCCCCCAGATATCGCCATCGCCGCTCCCTACGGGGGTGAAGACAGGAAGGGGATCGTTTACATCTTCAACGGCAGATCCACGGGCTTGAACGCGGCGCCGTCGCAGGCCCTGGAGGGGAGGTGGGCCGCACAGACCATGCCGCCCAGCTTCGGCTACGCCATGAAGGGAGCCACGGACATCGACCGCAACGGGTACCCAGGTGTGGCCGCACTCAGCGCACAGGTGCTCGGCCCGGAGCAAACGGGCCCGTGCTGCATGGTGCTGTGCTGAGTGGGTGCTGTGCTGCGTGGTGCTGTGCTGAGTGATGCTGTGCTGAGTGGGTGCTGTGCTGAGTGATGCTGTGCTGTGTGGATGCTGTGCTGGGTGGGTGCTGTGCTGGGTGGGTGCTGTGCTGAGTGGTGCTGGGCTGAGTGATGCTGTGCTGAGTGGATGCTGTGCTGGGTGGGTGCTGTGCTGCGTGGTGCTGTGCTGAGTGATGCTGTGCTGAGGGGGTGCTGTGCTGCGTGGTGCTGTGCTGAGTGATGCTGTGCTGAGGGGGTGCTGTGCTGCGTGGTGCTGTGCTGAGTGATGCTGTGCTGAGGGGGTGCTGTGCTGCGTGGTGCTGTGCTGAGTGATGCTGTGCTGAGGGGGTGCTGTGCTGCGTGGTGCTGTGCTGAGTGATGCTGTGCTGAGGGGGTGCTGTGCTGCGTGGTGCTGTGCTGAGTGATGCTGTGCTGAGGGGGTGCTGTGCTGCGTGGTGCTGTGCTGAGTGATGCTGTGCTGAGGGGGTGCTGTGCTGCGTGGTGCTGTGCTGAGTGATGCTGTGCTGAGGGGGTGCTGTGCTGCGTGGTGCTGTGCTGAGTGATGCTGTGCTGAGGGGGTGCTGTGCTGCGTGGTGCTGTGCTGAGTGATGCTGTGCTGAGGGGGTGCTGTGCTGCGTGGTGCTGTGCTGAGTGATGCTGTGCTGAGGGGGTGCTGTGCTGCGTGGTGCTGTGCTGAGTGATGCTGTGCTGAGGGGGTGCTGTGCTGCGTGGTGCTGTGCTGAGTGATGCTGTGCTGAGGGGGTGCTGTGCTGCGTGGTGCTGTGCTGAGTGATGCTGTGCTGAGGGGGTGCTGTGCTGCGTGGTGCTGTGCTGAGTGATGCTGTGCTGAGGGGGTGCTGTGCTGCGTGGTGCTGTGCTGAGTGATGCTGTGCTGAGGGGGTGCTGTGCTGCGTGGTGCTGTGCTGAGTGATGCTGTGCTGAGGGGGTGCTGTGCTGCGTGGTGCTGTGCTGAGTGATGCTGTGCTGAGGGGGTGCTGTGCTGCGTGGTGCTGTGCTGAGTGATGCTGTGCTGAGGGGGTGCTGTGCTGCGTGGTGCTGTGCTGAGTGATGCTGTGCTGAGGGGGTGCTGTGCTGCGTGGTGCTGTGCTGAGTGATGCTGTGCTGAGGGGGTGCTGTGCTGCGTGGTGCTGTGCTGAGTGATGCTGTGCTGAGGGGGTGCTGTGCTGCGTGGTGCTGTGCTGAGTGATGCTGTGCTGAGGGGGTGCTGTGCTGCGTGGTGCTGTGCTGAGTGATGCTGTGCTGAGGGGGTGCTGTGCTGCGTGGTGCTGTGCTGAGTGATGCTGTGCTGAGGGGGTGCTGTGCTGCGTGGTGCTGTGCTGAGTGATGCTGTGCTGAGTGGGTGCTGTGCTGAGTGGTGCTGTGTGTCAGTTCAGTCCGGGAGCTCACGTGCTGGTTGGGCCCCGCGGTGGTTGTGGTGCTGCTCTGACTGCCCAGGGGCATTGCAGGAAAGGCAGCTCTGTTTCCTGGTCGTTAACAGCAAAACCACGGGCTCTGAGCTTCCTGCGTTGAAGTTTGTAAGGAAATGTCAGGGAATCACTCACAGGCGAAACGCTCCTTTTGAGTTTTTGAACGTTAGGCATCTTTTTAAAAAATATATATTTTTATTGATTTCAGAGAGGAAGGGAGAGGGAGAGAGATGGAAACATCAACAGTGAGAGAGAATCATGGATCGGCTGCCTCCTGCACACCCCACTCTGGGGATTGAGCCGCAACCCGGGCCTGTGCCCTGACCGGAAATCAAACCCGGGACCCTTCAGTCCGCAGGCTGACGCTCCATCCACTGAGCCACACCGCCAGGGCCTTTTTGGTTTTCAATGATCTAACATTTTTGTGGATTTGACTAATCATTGTGGTTTTTAGCAAATACGTTATTTCATGTAAGTCTCTGGAGAACGCGCGCTATCTCAGCTCATCACCATCTTCTGGATGAGAAGAGAGACTCAGAAAGGGCGTTGGCCCAACGTGCTCACTGGTTTGAGCCAGTGGAGAAAGTGAGGTTTTTATTTTCTGGCTCATATATACTTTGGAGTTACTGCAGTAGACCTGGGATTATAATGGGTCTATTCCTTAAACGAATATAGTGCAGAAAACGTAACTGCCCTTTTTTTGGGACAGTCACAGTGAGCTCAGTGGGCCAAGTCTGTTGAAGCGCTCTTAGAAATACAACAGGAAGTTGATTCTTATCTCTGTGTTCAAGGATTTTCTGATTATAAGTGCAATATATTTATAGAACTTTTAGCAAATAGAGCAGAACATATTTTGCAATCTTTTTTCCAATGCACTCATACACATTTATGAACAAAATAGAATTGTGGTTTATGCACTATTAATAGCATTTTTAAAAAAATATATTTTATTGGTTTTTTACAGAGAGGAAGGGAGAGGGATAGAGAGTTAGAAACATCGATGAGAGAGAAACATCGATCAGCTGCCTCCTGCACACCCCCTACTGGGGATGCGCCTGCAACCAAGGTACATGCCCTTGGCCAGAATCGAACCTGGGACCCTTCAGTCTGCAGGCCGACGCTCTATCCACTGAGCCAAACCGGTCAGGGCAAATAATAGCATGTTTTATTCACTGAAAGTATCAGAAATGTTTTCCCATGTTACTAATTTTTCTTCAAAAGCATGAGTTTTGTATTTTTCATTTTATTAAATGACTATATCGTATCATATTTACCTTATTTTGGGGCATTTATATTCTTGTATATAATTCTGGTGTCTATACACCTTATTTTTAAAAACTTTTTATTTTTTTATTAGACAAAGTTTTAAAATTGTTTTGTCAAAGATAAGCACGGTGTTTTTTTTAAGTTTGTTGATTCGCTTGTCAAACTACAATCCCACTCCCTCTAAACGAAGGTTTTGCCACTTTTTAAACCACTTAACCAGCAGCGAGTGAGGGTCCTTCTCTCACATTCGTTCCCATGTCGAGTGTCATCTCTGTTCCCTGTAGAGTAACTTTATGTGGCGGCTGGAAACTGTCCTTTTGTCTTAATTTGCAGTTTTTGGTTATTAGTGAGGGTAAGCGTTTTGTTTATTTGCATCTATTTACTTCTGTGAATTTCTTTTTTTACATCTTTTTTCTCTCTCTGTTTTATTGGGATGTTTTTCTTTCACTAATTCATTTTTTTTACCTTGTGGCGGGTGCCTTAAAATAGCATGTTTTAGGCTATTAACTCAAAGACAAAAATAGGTTTACAGCTGTTCGTGTGGGAAACAGTAACAATGATAAATAATAGAACGAGAATAAACCGCGCTTCCTACGCACATAGCTGTGCACCTCCTTCCCCGCCCCGTGTCCTTCTGGGCTTCTCACATTTGCTTTTCGGGCACAGAGAAGTTACTAATTTTTTTTGTAGTGCAATCTGCCTGTTTTTTTGTGTTGTTTTTTTTCCCCCCACGTACTTTTTTTTTTTTTTTTTTTTTTTTTTAAAAAAAAGTTTTGCCAGGAAAGGGCTCCCTCCAGTCTAGCTTGTTTATACTGCGAGAGCATTATTTTTTCCTAATTGTGAGCCCTTTTCACCTCTCACACATGAAGACGAATGCCTTCTGTCTGTGTTGACGTGAGTGCTGTCTGCTGTCAGGTCTAAGATTTCTAAACGTGTGCGATGTGCTTTTTGGTTTTGGTTAAAAAAAATAAAAAGAGGGATATTGGCCTGTAATTCTCTTTCATTGTGTTGTCTTTACCTGGTTTTGGTATTAGGGTGATGCTGGCTTCATAGAATGAGCTTGGAAGTGTTCCTTCCTCTTGAATTTTTTGTAGTAGTCTGAGGAGGATAGGTTTTAGTTCTTCCTTGAATGTTTGGTAAAACTCCCCTGTGAAGCCGTCTGGTCCTGGGCTTTTGTTTGCTGGAAGCTTTTTGATGACTGCTTCAATTTCTTCCATAGTTATTGGCTTGTTGAGATTTTTTGATTCTTCCTTATTGAGTTTTGGAAGGTTGTATTTTTCTAGGATGCTAGGCGGCTGATCACCTGAACCCTGTCTCTGTATCATTCCTTCTTCGCCGACTTTGTCCACACCTCTGGGGACCCCTGGACCTGCTGCGGTTGGACCCCAGCAGGCCTGTAGAGCTATAAACTTCCCTCTCAGGACTGCTTTCATTATGTCCCATAGGTTTTGGATTGTTGTGTGTTCATTGTCATTAGTTTCCAGGATGTTTTTAATTTCTTCTTTGATCTCATTGGTAACCCAATCAATATTGAATAGCATGCTATTCAGCTTCCAGGTGTTTGAGTATTTTGGGTTGTTTTTATTGTAGTTTATTTCTAATATTAATGAAAAAATACTTGTACAGCAGCATCCACAGGCTCCACAGGCTTTCCCTTGTGGTCCATGTTTTGGGGTTCTGCTCCCTGCTTTGCTGACTAAGTGTCCAGGGGAAGACCGTCCGCCCGAATGGAAGACTCGTTTTATGAGGCACGTTTGCCGTCGGCAGGAGCTCATTTCGAGTTTTCCTATCCTAACCTCCTAAAGGTCATCTTCCGCCTCCTCATGGAGGTAGATTTGAGACTGTTTAAAGCCTGATCATGTGTATTGGAAGCTGTATGGACTGGCATGTGAATTTTAAAGAATCACTATCATTATTATTAACGTTTTTTCTGCTCTTTTCAGACTTGGTTGTGGGAGCTTTTGGTGTGGACAGAGCTGTGTTGTACAGGTGAGCGCCTTCCCATCACTGCTTCTGTTCGGAATTAGTCAAACGGTTTATAGTTAAGTCCCAGGGCGTTAAGTTCAGCTTAGTTTTCTGGAAATGACGGTACACCCTGTTCTTTCTCTTTAAGATTTGCTGTAGGCAAGCGGTACCTGTAGAAGGAGAGCTCCCCACGCAGAGAAAGCGTAGACATGGTTAATTTCAGAAAGCATGTAGGGTTTCCCTCTTCGTTCTTGAAATCATGTCTAGAGAGAGTCTCCTACCTTTTCAATGTCCCCCCACATTCTCGGAGTTGGCGTTTTCCGCTGAGAGGCGAGAACTAACTCGTGTTTGTGCGTGACATTCTGAGCACAGAGGCCGCGTGCAGTGATTCCCGGGACCACGGTTGCTCAGAGCAGCATGTATGTCCCGGCCTGTGTCTCCCGGCTTCGTGCACCTTCCCAGTTACTCTGTGCCCATCACTCCCTCCTGCCCTCGGCCGCCCTCCCGCCTCCCAGGAGATGAAGGTGTTCACCTTCCCCGGGCCGCGGGCGCGGGCAGGACGCTGACCCGGCAGCTGCTGGGGCCGTGGCCGGAGGAACGCGACTGGCTCCCGGGCCCCGTGTCCGCCAGACGCGTGTCCTTGGCCGGAGCGGCTGCGTTTCTGGAAAGAGTTTAAATCGGTGCCTCTTTCAGTTTTTATTTTATTTATTGTAAGTTTTAAAAAATATATTTTTATTGATTTCAGAGAAGGAGAGAGAGATGGAAACATCGATGATGAGAGAGAATCATGGATCGGCTGCCTCCTGCGTGCCCCCCTACAGCAGATGGAGCCCACAGCACGGGCCTGTGCCCCGACCGGGAGTCAAACCGTGACCTCCCGGTTCATAGGTCAATGCGCAACCCCTGAGCCCCGCTGGCCGGGCTCCGTTTCAGTTTTTAAAATGGCTGTTCACGAAGTCATACATGCAGGCGGTAAACATTCAAATAATATAAAGAGGGCGTACATTGAAGCCTCTTCTCAGACTAGTCACTAGTTTCCTAGTGTGTACAGTCAGAAGCGTGCTAGGCATTACAGTGATTGTGTGTGTGCGTGCGTCCTTTGCACACTGTTGGTCTTTCCCGTGCCGCACTGCCATTACCTGTGGCGTGTATCTCAGCTCCCCCGTCACAGCACGGATGGCGCACGGCCCTCGTCCCGCTGTGAGCGCTGCGTTAGGTCCATGGCGCACGGCTGGCCTCGCTGTCCTGCTCTCATGGGCAGAGTTCAGAGATTTGGCCAGTCGTCCCGCTTAGCCTGGCCCGAGGGGTTGCCGGTCGCGGGACTTCCTGCTGGAATCGGCAGCCCTGGGCGGCGGGGACGGTGGTCATTCGAGGTTTAGTTCTTGTCTTTTCACTGCCCTGTGAGCGCGAACCCGAAATGCTCAGTCAGCCCACCATTGCAAACAGCTCCTTCGTTTTCCTCACTTCCCGCCTCTCCCTCCCTCCCTCTCCCTATCTCTTTCCCCCCACTAGAGCCAGACCGGTCATCACAGTCAATGCTGGCCTTGAAGTCTACCCGAGCATTTTAAACCAAGACAATAAGACCTGCTTGCTGCCTGGGACAGATCTTAAAGTTTCCTGGTAAGAGTATTAGCTGAATGTTGTGATTATTATAGTTATTATTCTGATGAGTGGTTCAGTTATTTTATTTTTATAAAATATATTTTATTGATTTTTTACAGAGAGAAAGGGAGAGAGATAGAGAGTCAGAAACATCGATGAGAGAGAAACATCGATCAGCTGCCTCCTGCACACTCCCCACTGGGGATGTGCCCGCAACCCAGGTACATGCCCTTGGCGAGAATCGAACCTGGGACCGTTCAGTCCACAGGCCGACGCTCTATCCACTGAGCCACACCGGTTAGGGGACGTGGTTCAATTATTATAAAAACAATCGAAAATGAAGGTGGGGTGAGATAGTGCGAAAGCAGGTTGCATTTGTCTGCTCTCTTCTCATGTCATGGATTGGATTATAGAAATACTGTTCCAGAAAGCTATGCAGAAGCTCCAGAAGCGTGTTAAAAACTAGTGGAAAGTTTATATGTGTGTGTGTGTGTGTGTGTATTTGATTTTAGAGAGAGGAAGGGAGAGGGAGAGACAGAAACACCAATGATGAGAGAGAAGCATGGATCGGCTGCCTCCTGCACGCCCCCCACTGGGGATCGAGCCTGCAACCCGGGCATGTGCCCTGAGCGGGAATCAAACTGTGACCTCCTGGTTCATAGGACAACGCTAGTGTAGTTTTTTTAAGTGACGCATGCTCAATGAATATATTAAAAAAGAAGGAAGAGCTAGTAAGATTTCAGAATTCATCCATACTTAATTTTAAAAAAGACCCATGAACTTTTTAATTTTTAAAAGGTATGATCTTTTTCAGATTCAATATCTGTGAGTAGCTGTATGGAAAAATATTATTTTGCTCTAATATACCAGTCTTCTATTGTCCCTTTACTAGTTTTTAAATAAAAAAAAATATTTTTTAAAATTTAACGTTTGAATTCTTCTATGGTTTGCGGTTTCTCAAGTCTCCTTATTTTATGCTACTCTTCCCTAAAGCGCGTGATTTTGCATATTTTCATTCTACCTGTATTTGTAATTTCCTGAAGATTTTTTTCTTTAAACTGACATGTTTTGTCTAAAACATTTTAAGATAGAATGGAGAAACCAGTATCTTTCTCTTACATGTCAGAATAAGTATGACTTAGTCATGACAGGCCTGGACCCACATGCTGTGAAGTCACCCCGAGAGCCCCACTTGGGGGAGCACCCCGGTTCTGGGCACAGGGGCCGGAGCACTCAGCTGGAGGGGGTGACGGGAGCTGGGATGACTTCCTTTCCCAAGAGCCGGGGATAGCGATCGTGGGCTCGCTAGAGAGGGGGAGCCCCGTCAGGGAGCTGGCTCGTTGGGGAGCGTTGGTGGGACTTCGGTGACACGGCGTCACTTCACGCCTGGATTCTGTCCCTGATTCCACGTGTCCCCGGACCTGGGGACTCGGGGGCAAGCCGGGGAATCCTTTCCTTTCTTCCTCATCGGGACGAGGGAGGAAGGGAACCTGCGCTAGGGAGGCTGAGGGAGGGTAGTTTGTCCAGTTTCATTGTTAAATACAAGATGAAGACAGACAGACAGGAAACTTTGCCGGGTGAGCTCCCCGCGGGCGTGAGGACACGGGAGCACGGCCGGCCTCCGTGACGACGCGTGTGTTCTTGTTTCCCTGCAGCTTCAACGTCAGGTTCTGCCTGCGGGCGGACGGCAAAGGCACGCTTCCCGCCAAACTGAGTAAGTGTCCGCATCCGTGTCCGCGTCCGTGTCCGTGGGGATCACGCGAGTTACCGACGCTGCGCACACAGCTCACACTGTGGGGGCGGGAGTCACTTGGGCCGTTGTTACTTATTTGGATGTTTAGTCCACAATCACTCTGGGTGGAAACTCCTACCCAGTGGGGAGATGACACACCTGTTCGTTGACGTGGCGAAGAGTCGCCCCTGAACGTGCCTGCAACCCTCACCGGGCCCAGCGCGTCCCTGTGCGAGGGAATGAGCCGATGGCCCGTAAGCCAGGGGTCCCGATGGCCCGTAAGCCAGGGGTCCCGATGGCCCGTAAGCCAGGGGTCCCGATGGCCCGTAAGCCAGGGGTCCCGATGGCCCGTAAGCCAGGGGTCCCGATGGCCCGTAAGCCAGGGGTCCCGATGGCCCGTAAGCCAGGGGTCCCGATGGCCCGTAAGCCAGGGGTCCCGATGGCCCGTAAGCCAGGGGTCCCGATGGCCCGTAAGCCAGGGGTCCCGATGGCCCGTAAGCCAGGGGTCCCGATGGCCCGTAAGCCAGGGGTCCCGATGGCCCGTAAGCCAGGGGTCCCGATGGCCCGTAAGCCAGGGGTCCCGATGGCCCGTAAGCCAGGGGTCCCGATGGCCCGTAAGCCAGGGGTCCCGATGGCCCGTAAGCCAGGGGTCCCGATGGCCCGTAAGCCAGGGGTCCCGATGGCCCGTAAGCCAGGGGTCCCGATGGCCCGTAAGCCAGGGGTCCCGATGGCCCGTAAGCCAGGGGTCCCGATGGCCCGTAAGCCAGGGGTCCCGATGGCCCGTAAGCCAGGGGTCCCGATGGCCCGTAAGCCAGGGGTCCCGATGGCCCGTAAGCCAGGGGTCCCGATGGCCCGTAAGCCAGGGGTCCCGATGGCCCGTAAGCCAGGGGTCCCGATGGCCCGTAAGCCAGGGGTCCCGATGGCCCGTAAGCCAGGGGTCCCGATGGCCCGTAAGCCAGGGGTCCCGATGGCCCGTAAGCCAGGGGTCCCGATGGCCCGTAAGCCAGGGGTCCCGATGGCCCGTAAGCCAGGGGTCCCGATGGCCCGTAAGCCAGGGGTCCCGATGGCCCGTAAGCCAGGGGTCCCGATGGCCCGTAAGCCAGGGGTCCCGATGGCCCGTAAGCCAGGGGTCCCGATGGCCCGTAAGCCAGGGGTCCCGATGGCCCGTAAGCCAGGGGTCCCGATGGCCCGTAAGCCAGGGGTCTCGATGGCCCGTAAGCCAGGGGTCTCGATGGCCCGTAAGCAGGGGTCCCGATGGCCCGTAAGCAGGGGTCCCGATGGCCCGTAAGCCAGGGGTCCCGATGGCCCGTAAGCCAGGGGTCTCCTGGGACCTCCATCCATAGGCCTTGGGGAGCCCCCGCTGGCTCTGGCCTGGAGGTGGTTTAGAAAGAGCAGGAGACATGGTCTGGGCCACTCATGTAACCACACAGCCAGCTCCCAGGTGGCTCTTCCCTCCCAAGACGTGGTTCTGCGTCCTGAGAGCGGGGGGAGCGTTAAGTCCTGTGGCCACGATCTGCCGCGTGGCAGGGACAGTGCTGGGAGGCAGGGCAGCGGGCGGAGGCTGCACCCGTGCGGTGGTGTGTGTGCTGGTGTGTGTGCTGGTGCGTGTGCTGGTGCGTGTGCTGGTGTGTGCGGTGGTGCGTGTTCTGGTATGTGTGGTGGTGCGTGCACTGGTGTGTATGATGGTGTGTGCGGTGGTGCGTGGTATTCACGGGGAGCAAGGGAGGCAGGCCCTGGTCGGGACAAGAGGAAGCCCCCCCAGAGGAGACGGCATGTCGGGGCCGCGGGAGGGGCGTGCCTGGCGTGTGAGTGCACGGAGGGCAGTGGGCCCCGCACGCCCTCTCACGGGAGCCTGTCCCCCGTGCTCCCGCCGGGAGCTGATGGTTTGCACTAAACTTTTGTCTATAAACGTGTCCCCTGTGAAGTCCACACAGACATTTAGTGCAAACTGTCACCTCCCCGGCGGGAGCACGGAGGACAGGCCCCCGCGAGAGGGCGTGCGGGTCAGGAAGCACAGGCCACACGCAGCTGTTCGGGTCAAGCTTTGCCTTAGAGCAGCGGTTCTCAACCTTCCTGATGCCGCGACCCTTTAATACAGTTCCTCATGTTGTGGTGACCCCCAACCATAAAATTATTTTCGTGGCTACTTCATCACTGTAATTTTGCTGCTGTTATGAATCGTCATGTAAATATCTGATATGCAGGATGTATTTTCATTGTTACAAATTGAACATAATGAAAGCACAGTGATGAATCACACAAACAATATGTGATTATATATGTGTTTTCCGATGGTCTTAGGCGACCCCTGTGGAAGGGTCGTTCAACCCCCAAAGAGGTTGTGACCCCCAGGTTGAGAACCGCTGCTCTAGCTGCTCTAGTGGAAAGGTGCCTCTTCGTCGCCCTCAGCAGGAGTCCCGCCCCTGCACTCAGGGAGCGCCATTTGCTGGGATTTGCACGGCGTTCCCCTCAGGCTTGTTGCTCTAACGGGGAAGGGAGGGGTCCTCCCCTGTTTTACTGCCTCAGGATCTGGAGCCTGGATCACCCACCTTCCCCGGGGGTAACTGGGTGAATTCTGCCATTAATTGTGACACATTTATCCCCAACGAGTGGCGGTGGTCTCCCTGCCGAGCACAGCGGCCCGAGGGCGTCGGGGGTGGGCGTCTGCGTGAACCGCGGGTGCAGGGCGGGCGGCGTCCGGGGGCCGCGTTGGTTCTAAACCTTTGGTTTGTGCAGACTTTCAGGTGGAGCTTCTTTTGGATAAACTCAAGCAAAAGGGAGCAATTCGCCGAGCACTGTTTCTCCATAACAGGTCCTCGGGCCACCCCAAGAACATGACCGTCTCCCGGGGGGGCCGCATGCAGTGCGAGGAGCTGGTGGCGTACCTGCGGGTGAGGCCCTCTCCCTCCACGTCTGCTCTTCTCTCCTGTTGCTTTTCTTCTCATCCGGGCGCTTTTCACGTTCGGTACACGTTCGTGCTTTAAGTCCACAGGAAAATACACGTGAGGAAGTGCGGCTCTTTATTTTTTTTATTATTATTATTTTTTAAATATATTTTATTGATTTTTTACAGAGAGGAAGGGAGAGGGATAGAGAGTTAGAAACATTGATGAGAGAGAGACATCGATCAGCTGCCTCCTGCACACCTCCTACTGGGGATGTGCCCAGGTACACGCCCTTGGCTGGAATCAAACCTGGGACCCTTCAGTCCGCAGGCCGACGCTCTGTCCACTGAGCCAAACCGGCCAGGGCAAGTGTGGCTCTTTAAATGTCGGACCCGAGTAGTGGCCTCCTCCTCCTGGTGGACTGCATGCCCCCAAGAACCCCTCACGATACAGTCTGTGGGACACAGGCCCCCCCCCCCCCCCCGAGAGGGAGTGTGTGGCGTCACAGGCCTCCCTCGAGAAACAGGAGAACTTACGTAAACGACCGAACTTTACACTCAGAGACACTAGGACACGAACAGCAATCAAAGCCCGAGTGCGTAGGAGAAAGGAAATAGTAACGATCAGAGCAGCAATGAACGAAACAGAGTCTAAAGTACAAGTCCAGGTCTAGCCAGTGTGGCTCAGTGGTTGAGCGTCCGCCCGTGCACAAGAGGGGCTGGTTCGATTCCCGACCAGGGTACCTGCCAGGCTGTGGGCACGACCCCCAGTGGGGGGCCTGCAGGAGGCAGGCAGTCAGTGATTCTCATCGTGGATGTTGTATCTCTCTCCCTCTCCCCCTCTTTCTAAAATAAACGTAAAATTTAGAAGCCCTGAAGGTTCCACCAAAAACTACCAAAACTGACAGATGAATTCAGTTAAAGCAGCAGGATGCAAAACCAGCGTCCAGAAAACAGCTGCATTTTGTGCGTTAATAATAGACCGTCAGAAAGGGAGACTAAGAGAAGGATCTCACTTACAACGGCACCGAGAAAACCACAGTGACCTTGGGGTAAACTTCACCAAGGATGTGCAAACCTGAACCAGAAAACGGTAAGACACGGAAGGAAGAAAGTGGAGAAGATGCAGATACGTGGAGTGTACGCTGTGGCCACGAGAGCTGGGCCGGTGGCCCGATGGATACGGGGTCTGGCTACGGACCCGAAGATTCCAGCGAGGGTATTGAACGGAGGAAGCAAATCAAAGAATCCGCACCATCTGATTCTTAAATAGACAGGAAAGCAAACTCGGAACGTGCTGTTAGAGACGGTACCCGGTCACAAACTGCCGCAGGCCAGCACGGGGATGGGGACTTGGGCCCAGGACGGCGGTCGCTCGGAAGGAAGGCAGAGGGGTGAGGCGCTCCAGAGAGGACCATGTGGGTAGCTGAAGCGATGGCAGTAACGTTCCAGTTATAATACTGGGCGTGTATTTTTAAAAATACGTTTTTATTAGTATTTATTTTAGAGAGAGGAAGGGAGAGGGAGAGAAAGAGAAACATCAATGAGATAGACGTTCCTGACCGCTGCCTCCTGCACGCCCCACATGAGGATCCAGCCCGCAGCCCCGGGCGTGTGCCCTGCCCGGGAACCAGACCAGTGACTTCTTGGCTTTTAGGTCAATGCTCAACCACTGCGCCGCACCTGCCAGGTGGGCGTGTAATTGAGTGCTCATTTTATTAACACGCTTCGAATCAAATACTGACATTCCGATGCATAAACTGATTGTGTTCTCAGTGAATAACAACCTTCCATAAGTTTACATTCACGAGGGTTTGGCAGAGTCGGACGGAGAGATGATCCCACAGCTGGCTTTGTGTTCTCGCTGACGGGTTTCTCCGGCTGCTTGATGCCCTCATTAACGCGCAGCTTCTCCGTTTCTAGGATGAGTCCGAGTTTAGAGACAAGCTCACTCCCATCACCATTTTCATGGAGTACCGGCTGGACTACAGAACGGCGGCTGACGCCACCGGCCTGCGGCCCATCCTCAACCAGTTCACGCCCGCCAACCTCAGTCGGCAGGTACGCCTCCTCGCTGCTCCCGAGTCTCAGCCTTTCCTTTCTTCAGGTCTTGCCGTTCGTGTTTTAAATTACCACAGGGGTTGCTCTTGTAACCTTGGGATTTTAGTCAAAGAAGTACAAGGGGGAGGCGTCAAGTTAGAGACATTGAAAGCCACTTGGAACTCGGTGATACGGAGAGAACGTTGGGGTCACATAGAAAGTTAACTAATTCAAGGAAAACAACAAAACGCCAATTTACACAGTATTTTAATATTTTGCTGAACAAGTTTAATATCTGTTTTATCTTTGATTTAATTTGAAAAAAAATACATACACACACACACACACACACACACACACACACTGAGTTCCACAACCATCAGATCTCACAGAACTGGACAGTGCTATTCATCAGGCACGGTGTCAGATTCCTCGCATCACCTTTCAACATCTTGTGGAGTCAATGCCAAAAAGAATCGCCGCAGTCGTGTTGTGCAGGAGTGGCCCAACGAAGTACTGATGGGGTGGTCATAATAATCTGGCCACTCAGTATATATATATATATATTACTTTCTTTTCATAAAACCAAATAAAGCAATAAAATGTCATATGGGCTGTATTACAATATTCTTAGAAAATGTTATGTAAAATCCATGTATTAAGATATTATGATTGCATTTCCTATTTCTTCCTCTTTTTTATTACATGTTCATATTTTTAGGTTAACATTTCTTCTTTTACAGGATTCTTTACCCTGCATTTTGGTTGTTATTTCTTCTTTGTCTAACACTCTAACATCTCAAATACTCTTTTTTTAAAAAATATGTGTTTATTGATTTCAGAGAGGAAGGGAGAGGGAGAAAGAGATAGAAACATCCTTGATGAGAGAAAATCATGGACCGGCTGCCTCCTGCACGCCCCACATTGGGGATCGAGCCCATAACCTGGGCCTGTGCCCTGACCTGGAATCGAACCACGACTTCCTGGTTCGTGGGTCAATGCTAAACCACTGAGCCACGCTGGCCGGGCTCAAATACTCCTTTGTGTGTGGTTTGATAAAACTATACATGGTAGATGTGTAAGGCAAATTAAAATATATTTTAATGTACTTTTGAATTAAAATCCAAAGTCTTCCGTGATTTGTATATTTTAACAATGTAGTTTACATCTTACTTTGCATGTGGGTACTTAGAACATGTGCGTGTCTAGGATGGTTTCTGCCCCCTTTCTCCACGTGCCACACACACTGGACTCCTGGTGTCCAGTGGCTGTTCCCGTGGTGGATCCCTACGTGGCCGCCCCCCGTGCTATTCCCGTGGCTGGTTCCCTCGCTCTGTGGCTGTTCCCGTGGCTGGTCCCGTGGCTGGTTCCTTGGTTGCTCTCTGAACTGCCGCTCTGTCCCCTCCTCCCTTTACACCCCGCAGCCACGTTTCCATGGCGTTGACAGAACCGTAGTCTGGAATGAGAAACCCTAGAAGGAGTTCATTTTGCCCAAGATCACACACCTTAGCTAGCAGCCGCTGAGCCCTCATTTATTTTTTTCATTTTTATTGATGTCAGAGAGGAAGGGGGAGGGAGGCAGATAGAAACATCCATGATGACTGGCTGCCTCCTGCACGCTCCCTACTGGGCATGGAGCCTGCAACCCGGGCCTGTGCCCTGATGAGAATCGAGCTGTGACCTCCTGGCCCATAGTTTGATGCTCAATCACCACACCCAGCTGGCCGGGTGGAACCCTCATTTCTTGACTGTCACTTTCTCTTCTATGTGACACTTCATTCCACAATCTTAGCAGCTCAGCTGGAGATGGAGCAAAAGCTCCCACCAGGTCGTCTGATGTCCTGAGTCCTTTCCTCCCTGCCATTCTGACCGTTCACTGGCCCGTGTAAAAGGAAGTAGCCACGAGCCCTGTTAGCATGCGAAGAAGTTGATGAATCCATGTGCCTGTATATGTGTGTGCACATGCGTGTCCACGCGCTCCACGTGTAGTAGGACATGCCCTGCACCGCTCTCTCCCGCGCAGGAGATGTAACCGCTCCTCTCTCCTAGGCTCACATCCTCCTGGACTGCGGCGAAGACAACGTCTGCAAACCCAAGCTGGAGGTCTCCGTGGACAGGTGAGGCCCGCCCGCCCCGACAACGCGCACAGGACGGCTCGCGGCCGAGCCAGCTCCTCCTCCCGGGGGCGGTGTATTTGAGCGAGAACGCGTCACCTCCGAGGGGGTGCGCGGCTGTCTGAGGCCAGGCTGTCGGGGCTGACTTCGGAGCAGCAGGCGCTGAGCTCTCCTCGCTGTGTGGGCGGCAGGCTGGTCCCTTCCCCGCTGGGTCCTGTGAGAGGCCCCCGCGTCCTCTCACGGCCGCCCTTCATCACCGCCTCCTCCCGACGGAAGGAATCCCATCACATGTGCACGAGACATAAATCACAAGGGGTTTTTGTGAGAATCGTGACACATGAGCAATTCCGTTTTCTCCTAAAATCAGAGACTTAGTCAGGACGCGCAGGGAGCCGTGAAGGACGCCTGTGACGGATGCGCGGCGGGGACATGCTGGCGGCATCGCCTCGTGTGCTCGGACGAGCGTGGGCTCTGCGCCGCGTGCAGGCCCGTTTCCCGTTGAGCTGGGGGTCGTGTCAACGCCCCGAGACCTGGGAGGGTGTCAGTGCCGCCGTCTGCGTGTCTGTCTCCCGTCCCGGGGACGGCCCTGCTGCCCCCCGCGGCCCGTCTCACGGTCTGGGCCTGTGTTGCTCCACAGAGACCAGAAGAAGATCTACGTCGGGGACGACAACCCCCTGACCTTGATGGTGACGGCGCAGAACCAGGGCGAAGGTGCCTACGAAGCGGAGCTCATCGTGGCCCTCCCCCCGCAGGCCGACTTCATCGGCGTCGTCCGCAACAGCGAGGTAGGCACGGCCTGTTCGGAACCCAGGGCACCCCCAGTCTCAGGCCGCCCGCCC